GCTTTGATCGTGAAACGACCAGAATGTGCCAGAAGGCATGGCAAAGGAATTTTGCTTCATGACGACGCACCATCACAAACTTCAAAACCAGTTAAAGACACGTTACAAGATCTTACCTGTGAAGTATTAACCCACCCGCTATATTCACCAGACCTTGCTCCTTCAGATGACCACTTGTTCTGATCGATGGCACACGCACTTTCTGAGCAGCACTTCAAAACATACAAAGAAGTGGAAAATTGGGTCTCTGAATGGTTTGTCTCAAAACAAGAAAAGTTCTATTGGGACGGTATCCACAAATTAACTGAAAGATGGAGGAAATGTGTAGCTAGCACTTTTGATGTTTCTCTTGAAATTATTGTGTTTTCTTTGATTACAAAATCCACATTATTAATCGATACACCTAGTAAATACTTAAATAGTTATACAAATCAAGGTCAAGTAACACAGAATAGATCAAAACTTGGATTGTAAGGGAGGTGGACAGAACACAGATACAAATCCATAAATTCTTACTTGTTATCATTGAGCCACAATTTTGATACTCACAATCAACAAAGAGAGAGAATGCTTGGTTGCATAAGTTCATTGTCTAGGGAATAATTATAGTTTAACACTTCTAAATTTTCTCATTTCCTACTGTCAGTTCTGAAACTACAAACAGGGCTACAACGCAACTGCTTTTTAATGTGAGAAATACATAAGACACAGTTTTCAACTGAACAAATATAAATTCAACATATTAGAACTTCTTTTCCTTTCAAGTTTTAACATGAAGGCATGTTGACCTGCTCCAAAGTTTACAAAATATATTTACTTATATTATCTCACCTGATTCTCAACCCAACTGTATGAAGTAAAAAGAATGGGTATTAATGCCCACTGGTGTGGTTCAGTGGTTGAGCATTGACTCATCAACCAAGGGGTCCCTGGTTCGATTCCCAGTCAAGGTACAGGCCTGGGTTGTGGGCTTGATCCCCAGTAGAGGTCACGCACAAGGCAGCTGATCGATGTTCTCTCTATCCCTCTCCCTCTCTCTCTAAAAATCAATAAAAATCTATTTTTTAAAGAAAGAATGGGTAATGTTTATATATCACACAGAAAAAGGCTGCAATTAGAACATTTAAAGGATTCACATAGTGACTTGGCTAGTGAGTAGCAGAGCCTGAAATGAATAATAAATTTATTCATTTATTTACTGAAAATCTCTTTAGTATCAGGCATTTTACTAGGCTGCAAAGATAAAAGACTTTATAGTCTAGTGAGGGAGAAAGATCTAAAATGTAAGTACGCTACAAGTGAGAGAGGCAAAATTAAGCATAGGCATCAGGTGTGATGGGCACATTAACACCATCCATGGAGTTTAAGAAAAGCTCTCCCTATATGAAGTAAACTCTGAGCTAAATATTAAAGAATGACCAAGAATTATCAAAGAAGAGGAAGGGGACAACCCAGGTAGAAGGAACTGTTAAAAAGCAAAGATGTGGAAAGATGGCAGGAAATGTGCAGGAAACAAACCAATATGGAATTTCTGGGACAAAATGAAAAGCAGAGTGGTAAAAGATAAAGCTGGAGTAGACAAGGGTCTATCAAAGGAAGGACTTATATGCCAGATTATACTTAATTCTGTAGGCAGTAAAGAACAGAATCCCACTTGCATTTCAAATTATACTATTCCAGAGGCAAAATAGATCAAAGAGTTGAAAAGGCAAGCAGGGAAATGGTTAAAGGATTGCTGAAGGAAGAGAAAGAGATAATGAGGACCAAAACAAGCCATTAAGAGTAGAGCTGCAAAGGAGGAATTGGGAAGATCTCCTTGAAAAAGTTCAGCCTGAAAATAACCGGCCGTAATATGTATGTGTGTGTGTGTGTGTGTGTGTGTGTGTGTGTGTGTGTGTAGCCGTAATGTGTGTGTGTGTGTGTGTGTGTGTGTGTGTGTTTATATATATATATAGTAGTTATTATGAAAGCCCAAAATAAAGTGTACTTTGAAACTTAATGAAAGGTTATTGCTGGCTTAACAGACCTTCCTAGTAAGATAACTTCAAAAAGGACTGCCCAATGCAGAAGCATCTTTAAAGACACCACAGAGCCCTAACGGGTTTGGATCAGTGAATAGAGCGTCGGCCTGCGGACGCAAGGGTCCCGGGTTTGATTCCGGTCAAGGGCATGTACCTTGGTTGCGGGCACATCCCCAGTGGGGAGGGTGCAGGAAGCAGCTGGTCGATGTTTCTCTCGCATTGATGTTTCTGACTCTCTATCCCTCTCCCTTCCTCTCTGTAAAAATTCAATAAAATATATTTAAAAAAAAAAAAGACACCACAGAAATTGAGTACCTTAATAATGTGATTTCCATCTGGTTTGTGGTAAAGTTTTATTCTTCTCTTCTTTTGTAGCCACCCCAAATCCTCTAACATTTCACCACTGAAGGATGATTCCACTCGGGTACCCTTGTCACAAACACTGCTTGGCTTGTTGAGTCCTTTTTCTTGTTTCTCCACATCTATGCATTCTGAATGAACATAGATCAGGAACTGACTGCTTGACTCTGAACTGACCAGTGTAAAACTCCTTTCAGAAAAATTTTCAATTAAACTCTGTTCCGGAAGAAGCTGAAGAGTGAATTCTCCTAGAAGTGCTTTCCAAGAATTATCAAAGTGACAGGGAGAAATCACAATATTCAGCTTTACTGACAAAGGGGAAAAACTGTCACCAATCTCTTCTTTATCGATTGATTTTGAGATGCACACTGACTCTGAACATCTCTTTTTATCTCTGTGAGCCACTTCTTCCTTTAGGCTATCATCTAGGATGATGCACTCAGCAGAAGAGGACTCTGAAGCTGTGCAGGGATGCTCATCATCAGTTAAGGTGGCAGGTTCATTCCTTCTGTCCTCATGCATATTCCAACGAAGCTGCTGTTGCTTTTCTTCATCTACTTTCACTGGAGGAGCGCGTTTCCTTCGGTTGCTCATTTTCACTTTTTTTTTAATGGTTAAAGGTGAACTCTAGAAGAGAAATGCAACAGTAGGCATTCTGAGAGAGAAATTCAGAGTTAAAGGGCTCCCAGATGAGAAATTCAGCATAAACTAGTAGTCCATATATATAACATGAAATCTTCAGAGGAATACAAAAAGCAGTGAATAATTTTTAAGAAGTCAAACACAGCTAAGGAACACAATGACCAAAATCTCATGCAGCATATAAATTCTGATGGTTTTTACCAGTTATTAATGGATAAATTTAATAATAATTTGTTGAATAAAATAAAATAAATTCTAAAAATACATTTAAAGTATATCTCTCAAATATCCTAGAAATGCATATTTAAAGATTTTTAGTAACATGTACACTCATATCATCACTACAGAATTTAAAATTTGTTTTATAATCCCAAAGGGTTAACAAAACTTCACTTGATCCTTACATAGCCTTAAAAATCCCCCAAAATAGATCTTTCAAAAGAGAAAGATAAAAATAGAGAAATACATTTCTTTTTATGAATTAGTAGATAAAAAAGTTAAGAGGGATAGCTGGGCAAGGAATAAGGTGATAATGGCAACCAGGGGAAACGAAGCAGACAAAACAAGAGAACAAAAAAAATGTACAGGCACTTGAACTCTATGTAGATGAATGGGTAAAAATGGGTAAAAAAGCTGTGTCCATTCACACAATGAACTACTTACTACTCAGCAGTAAACAAGGAAATATTACCTTTTGCAACAGCATGGATGGACCTAGAGAGTATTATACTAAGTGAAATAAGCCGGTCAGAGAAAGACATGTACCATATGATTTCACTTATTTGTGGAACCTAGTGAAGAAAATAAACTTCACTAGGTTCAGATACAGAGAACAGACTGACACCTGTCAGAGGGGAGGGGATTGGGGACAGGGTGAGAAGGGTGAAGAAATTAAGCAAAGAAAAAAAAAAAAGACTCCTGGACACAGACAACAGTATGGTGATTGCCAGAGGGAAGAGAGTGGGGGATGGTGGGAGGTAGAAAAGGGTAAAGAAGTGATAAATGGTAATGGAAAACTTGACTTGGAGTGGTAACTCACAATACAATATACAGATGATATACTGTAGCACTGAACCCTATATAATTTTATTAACCAACTAGAGGCCCAGTGCATGAAAATTTGTGCACTGGTGGAGGGGGTGTCTCTCAGCCCGGCCTGCCCCCTCTCACAGTCCGGGAGCCCTCAGGGGATGTCCTACTGACAACTTGGGCCTGCTACCCATGGGGAGTGGGCCTAAGCTGCAGTCTGGCCTCCCTCTGCAGGAGGTGACCGGCCAATCAGGGGAAGGCACCATGTCCATCACCCCCTTGCTGCTGCTGCCTCTGGCCTCCCTCCGTGGGAGGCGACCCGGCGATCAGGGGAAGGCAACACCCCCATCACGCCTCTGTTGCTGCCAATGCTGGCCACGAGGCTGCCTGAGCTTCAGCTCTCGCAGCCACTGCAGCTTGTCTGAGCCTTGAGCCTTTGCAGCAGCAGCAGCCATCCGCAGCTTGGGTGAGCCTCGGGTTGGCCCTGGGCAGTGGCAGCCGCCATACGTGGCTTGCCTGAGCCTCGGGCCGGCCCTGGACAGTGGCAGCCACCATCCGCTCCCCTGATGCACCTCCTGGTCAAGTCCCCACTGGGGACACAGCATCAAGTCCCCGCCCACCCATGTGTGCCTCCCAGCTCAGGCAGCCCCACCCACCCGCATGCGCCTGCTACGCATGCAGCCTCCTGGTGATCGCTCGTTGTGGCGTGAGGGCATGACGACCACATAGGCTTTTATTAGTATAGATGTCACCCCAATAAATTCAATTTTTAAAAAAGATCGAAACAGAAAAAACAAACAAAAACTGTTTTTTTTAAAAAAAAAAAATAGGTAAAAGGAAAAGAAAGCTTTGCTATCCCAAAAGGGGAAATTGGTCTGAAAGCAGCCTATATAACTTAGGCCTCAAAGTACACTTTTCCCAAGATAGCCAATTACTACATGAAACAGAATAACTTAGAGAGGTTAAATCATAAAGCCATAGTGATGGTTGGTGCCTATTTCAACCTATTTCACGTAGCTGAAAAAAAAAAAAAGATGTATAAACAATTAAAAGTTGGTTTCACGTGAAGTTTAAGAAATAGTTTCAACAATTAATTCCATCATATATAATAAAACCCTAATATGCAAATCGACCGAACTGTGGAACGACCAGTTGCTCTGATGTGCACTGAGCACCAGGGGACAGACAGTCAACACAAGAGCTGCCCCTTGGTGGTCAGTGCGTTCCCACAGGGGGAGCCAGAAGCCCTGAGCCGGTGAGCGCAGTGGTGGTGGCAGGAGCCTCTCCTGCCTCCGTGGCAGCGCTAAGGACCCCTTGGGGGAGGGGGGGGGTTGGACATCCTCCAAGAGGTCCCAGACTGCAAAAGGGTGCAGGCTGGGCTGAGGGGACCCCCCCCCCCCCCCGAGTGCACAAATGTCGTGCACCAGGCCTCTAGTTTCTGAATAAAGTTCAATCGAGTATTTGCTGAGTGCTTACTATGTACTCAACACTGTGCTATACTTAAGGAGAGAATATAAAAGAAGTATAAATCAAATCATGATCTTTAATTTAGTACAGATAATAAATTATGTTTTGGTTTCTTCAATTGGAGCACATAGAGCAGACTACACCCGTCTCTCCCCACTAAGTCCTCATCCCTAATTACTCTGTTCCAAATCTAGGAGAGAATAAGAAATATGTTTTAAAGAGACAATTAAGAAATACACAGCCCCTGTTTAAAACTACTACAACAACAGCAACAACAAAACCATCAAACGGAAAATTTCAGTTGACCAGAAACTCTGAGGAATTCCTAAGGACGATGCACAGAGAATCACACCAAAGCAAAAATGGTGGTGTGAATTAGCACCAAAACATGGGGCATCACCAACAGGGCTTCCATGCGTAATGGTGACAGAGCTGGTAGTAGACCTCAAAGTGGGTCCAGGGCTACAAACACAGTAATAATGGAGCAATAGAGTGGGAATTGGCAGGTCCTTACCTGCCCTCTCCTTCACAAAGGCAAGATAGCTGTGGTGGGGGTATCTATCCTCTGGGGGAACAGTGCCTAAAGTGGAAAGACATCCATTGTTACTGAGTACAGAAGAATATCATAAGACAATGGACTCTGCCCATAGAGAAATTTCCCCCATTATCAGTGAACAGAATAGAAAACTAGGCCAGGCAAGGGCTTCTGAACCTACCCTTATATAAACTGTACAAGCCAAAAGAATGAAAGTAAAGTAGGAATCTGAACTGCAAAGATAAGCTCACAATCAACAATCAAACATTAAAGGATCTTCAACAGGAAAATAAATCAACAAAGACAAACTTTTACCCAAGGAAACAGATGAAGCAATCTAAGTAGGACTTTATAATACATACTAGTACAATCAACATCCACAGATCAGTGTGTCTCAAACTCCACTGCACATTAGAATCACCTGTGGAAACTTATAAAAATCCTAATGCCCAGGTACTATCCTAGCCAACTAAACCCAAACTGAGCATACAACTATAACTCAAAAAAAATCAATCACATTTTGGTTGACTCTTTTCCTACAGGATCTCTATCCAGGAATAATAAGCTACTTATAACCATAATGTTAATCGGCAGCTAATATGTCAAGTACTGGTATATCTCTAACCATATTCCAAATCCATCTCCTGGTTTTCTTCATACCACATGAATCCGACCTTTGATGGTTCTACTTAATCTTCCCCTTATATAACAGTATTTGTGTAAAACATAATTATATGAAATTTTCTATATGGACCGAACTTTTACTGTCCTGCATTTTTAAATGTAAATTCCTTTCGCTTGAAATGCTCTTTCATATTTTTCTGTCGCTGTCCCAATCTTCCCCCCCAAACCCTCCCTGACCAGGCCTGCTGAGTTAAGAGCCTCTCCTACTTGATCCCAACTGCTACAGTGTTCTCAACGGTTTGACTATGAACTACATGAAAACTAGGCAGCAACAGTATCCTATTCAGCATTGTACCTCCAATGCCAAGTCAGTGCCAGGATGGAAATGATATACAAAATAAGGTGAAACAAAGATCTCCAACTCCATGAATGCCCTCCCCTTTTTTACGGACCTAGTAGTACTTACTCACATTTCTTTTTGGACTCACATCTCTTAACCACATTCTAGAAGACTAGTGGTAAAGTGAAACTATTCTTTATTATTTCTGGTCCAGAATGAGACAGACAAAACTGACTGACCTGTAGCTTTAATAAAAAAAAAAAGACTGCCAGAAAAATAAAATCTTAAATTAATAAGACAATAAGACAAATGAATATCAATTAAACTTAAATTCATATTCCCCCCTACCACCAAATTATAATCTCATTAAAGGACACAAATCCTGAATTACCACACATGTATGGCAGGAGAATACATCTGCTATATGTCTAGGTCCAAGGTGAGCCCTATATAATCAAAGCCCAATTGTTACAAAAGTTCTCAAAAGTCCCTAACATTACCACAGTCTTTTTCTGTGTTGATAACTCCAGCAGGATGAGAGTATTTTCATCTGTTGAACCCTAAAAGATAAGTTAGTCACATAAACTTGAAAAAATGCCTCCATAAAAAGCTTTTTTCACCATCAGATTCTGTTTCCCAAAATCTTTTTAGCCTGAACTCTTTATAAAAGATTTTAAAACAATAATTCTGTAAGTACAGCTCTTAGGCTGACCAAAAAGAGGATGTATATGTAATAGCATCTTTCAAAAGTAAACTATTTTATTCTCAACTGCCAGCTTACTGGCTAACTCCAAGGAGCACGGGCTATCCAGCAAAGGCACACTTCGCCCACTACTGCTCACTACTGTTCTGTTTCTAGCATGGAAACATAAACCAACTAGTCTTTTTGGTCACAGTACCGGTATCACAGGACATTTCTATTCAGGGGAATGTCATCATTTTGGCTATTTACTCGGCAGAATAATTAAAAATAGCTGTAACGACTAAAAATTATTTTAATTTTGTTCAGTTAGAGCCTCAGTTAATTTAAATACAAGTTGGAAAACACCAAACATCTAGGATTTCTGCCTCATGGCCAATGGCAAGTCACGGAGAAAAAAGGCACAAGCTGAATAGTCATTATTTAATAATACTGCCTATTTGACAGTGACCACCCATCATCAGATAACACAACATAAACCCAGCAACTACCACGGAGTCACAATGTACAACGTGCAAGGATGGCTTTGAATACGAATGTAATTAATCTGGCTCCAAAGGTAACTGAGAAGTTTCAGACTAACTTGGAAGCCTCGGCCTCCCCTTCTGCTGCATTACAACCTCACGCACCAAGAAGCTAGGCAGCTGCCCGGTTCCAGCCTCCGGGGGCAGGTCTGCGGCGAGTGGCGATGCCCACTGTTTGCTTCCGAAAGACTCAAAGGCGGTTCGAGGAGTCCCGGCAGGGCTGTCAGCGCCCGATGGCTCCCAAGCAGCAGGCCGAGCAAACCAGCCACCTCGCGGCCCAGGAGCGCGACAACAGCTCCTCGGACGCTCCAACAAAACACTGCAGGCCCAAGCCCCCCGGGGAGAAACACAGCCTCCTCCCCGCGACCCCCGTCCTCTCCCGGAAGCCGGGGCGGTCCGGTCCAGGGGCCCGCAGGTCTGCGATGGGGAAGGGTCGGGGAGACTCGCGCTGCGGTACCCTCGTAGCCCTTCAGCTTCCCGGACTCCAGCACAACTGAGTCCAGCCTCCTCGGGGCCCCAGTCTCCGTCCAGAGTTACCTTCCATAGCCGCCCTCTGACCCGTGACCCTCCACCACCTGAGCGCCTACCTAGGCAGGTTCTCAAAGCCTCTGCACCAAGGCCCTCTAGGGTCCCCGCACCTCCAGGGCACGCAGTCGCCACCCACCCAACATCCGCCTGCGGTGGGCACGCGCGCTCCCCCAGGTTAGTGTTGGGCGTCCCGGGGGAGACTGAACCCACAGTTCCTACCTGCTGGGTGCGCGATGGAGCGCGGGGTCAAGGCGTACGCGCACGTCCAGTTGCCCCGCCCCCTTTCTCCGGCGGTGACTTCAAGAGCCCCTTCTGCGCAGGTCCACACGGTTGAAGCCTGTGTCGGGATGCCGCTGGAGTCTCGCGATAGCTCTGCCCACAGCATTCGAGGTGACAGGATTGGCTGGAACCTCTAGGCAGGAGGCGGGCTCTACGCAAATATAAATAAGAGCGGCTCTCCCAGTTGAAGGGGCGGGGCTTCCTTTGAAGCGAGTGCCGGTTTCCTTTCGTGAGTTTAATAAGAAAGGCAGAAAAGAATTCTGCAAACGCACTTCTTCTTCTTTTTTTTTTTACTTGCTTCTAGAAAGCAGGCATTAGTTAGGTACTGCGTGAAGCTTATCTTCCTCCAAAAAGTTACTCTAAAAGACTTTCCAGGGAAATGTGAGTACACTTTTTCAGTTGAGAGAAAAAAACTACTTGTGTTGTGCTGAAGGTGGCCGACGAACACTTTTGCCTATTTTCCTTCTCTTCACTGAGAGGTCGCCTTTTTCTCATAGACGTAGGCTAAGGCTTGGTTCACTTTGCCTAACTCCGAGAGGCTTCCTCGCCAAGAGCCTGTAACTAACCGCCAGCAACCAGCAGGCACTCGGGGATAAATGAGCCGCTGAGAAGGACTCACCCTTACACTTGGAGGGGCGACTCAGCAGGTGTGATCACAGAAGCACAAAAGTAAGTTCTTGCCAAAGGGAGTTGTAGTTGCGGAGACAGTCCATATCCTGCTTTGTACAGAACTTAATCACAGACCTCTAAGGTAGTCTGCAAGAAGCCATTTACATAAACCAAACCCTGTAAAATTCTATGCAAATAGTTACTTTATCCCAGGTTTCAAGAGACAAGTTGAAAAAGTAGAGCGAATGCTGGAGCGGTGGGAAGGCAGAGCCCCTCCACGTTGGCGAACCTACCATTTTAACTAAGTACAAGACATAATGGAACCTTTCCTTTGGAAATGCATTTGAAACTCGGTATCTTAATATACATGGGGCTGTAAAAGGTTATCTACGATAGTTTTATGTCACTTCTCAACATTGGAACAGAGATTTAAACTCTTAGTTCGACCGAGTCAGACTGGTGCCAGGCAGAAATACTTAAAAAATTAGTACAGCATCATTTCCTCTTTGTTCACCTTGATTGGTGTAATTAAGCTCTAGACATAGTTATTGTTATCCTGTGCAAAATATTAAGCTACAGATCCAGCTGTAAGTGTTTGGAAATGTAATTTCAACTATAGAGATGGGATGCTATACAGTATCATTCAGTGGTTACAGTTAAACAAAATTCTTTCTCTTGAATCGCCAGTGGTATATTCAATTCTGTATTTGCAAAGTGCACTGTATATGCTCTGAAAATTTCTCTATGGGCGTAATGTTTTTCAATATTAGAATCATCAGAGCTAATTTAAGAAAAAAAATAGTTTACTTTTGCACCTTAGCTCTCTGGAAGCTTCTATCTGTGAAATACAAGTTCATCCACCTATTAGATACTAATGGTCTAATAGCATTCCACAAATGGAATTAATTTATTGGACATAAGCCAATCAGTGAGCTACTCAGCGTTCATAGAGTTCAACTGCTTCTTGAAACTATAAATTTGATGGCAATCAGAGACCACTTGCTTCCTTGTGTGGTCTCACTAGGCCAAGGCAATAGTACCAGTTTCTTTTGGGGACCCTTGGCTTTATTCTAGCAATAACCCTAACTCAGGTAATCTATTTTAGAAATGAATGTTAAAAGTTGTTCTCAAGGAAGACTGGCTGAGAGGGAGTAGATTAATTAACATAAATTTAAGTCCCTTTATGGGGAGAAATGGTATAAATGATGATTTATGAGTAGAATTTTATATTTTGCAAAGCCTTTTAATGTTCACTTTTTCATTCTTACAATGACAATATTAAATATTTAAAATTTTCATTTTGGAGTAGAGGAATATGAAACTCAGAGAAATTTAATGATTTGCCACAGTTTAGCTCTAAGAAAACAGGAGAATCTAGAACTCATCTTGATTCCTTGGTCTTCTAGGCTGTTGCCTCTTATTACTAAGTCGTGTTCCCTTTCAAATAAAAATAAAGAATATATCACCAACCTTCCTAGCTTGACATGGGAAAAATGAAGGCAAGAGGTGTGTAATTATTTCATGACCCAGGGCTGTGTATATTAACAATAAGAGCATTCAGGCCTAGCACTATTTTTTCCTTAAAAAGGTCATTAATAAAATTGCTTTAAATGTAAATTGACTAAATTCTCCAATCAAAAGACATAATGTAGCTGAATGGATAAAAAAACAAGAACTCACTTCAAGTGTAAGCAGACACAGAGACTAAAAGTGAAGGGATGGAAAAAGATATTCTTTGCAAATAGAAATCAAAAGATAGCTGAGATAGCTATACTTAGACAAAACAGACTTTAAAACAAAGACTATAATAAGACATAAAAAAGGTATAATATAATTGAACAAGGGGGATATAACATTTGTAAATAATTATACACCCAACATATGAGCACCTGAATATATAAAGCAAATGTTAACATACCTAAAGGAAGAAATGGATAGAAATACAATAATAGAAGGGGACTTTAGTATTTCACTTACATTAGTGAATAGATCATCCAGACAGAAAAAATAAATAGTCTTAAATGACACGTTGGATCAAATAGACTTAACATCTATGTAGAGAACATTTCATCCAAAAGCAACAGAATACACATTCTTTTCAAGTGCACATGGAGCATTCTTCAGGATAGGTCATATGTATGTTAGGCCATAAAACAAGTCTTAATAAGTTTTAAGAAGATTGAAACCATATCAAGCATCTTTTCTGAACACAATGGTATAACAATAGAAATCAATTAAAAGAAGAAAACTAAAATATTTGCAAATATGTGGAGATTAAAAATGTGCTTATGAACAATCAACAGGTCAAAAAAACAAATCAAAAGAGAAATTAAAAAATACCTTGCAACAAGTGCAATTGGAAATATAACAAAAACCAACATTTATGGGATCTATCAAAAGTAGTTCTAAGAAGAAAGTACATAGCTATAAATTCCTACAAAATCTCAAATAAACAGCAATAAACAGATAATAAATAATAAAAATTATATATTAATACAATAAATATATTATAATCTCTCTATATAAAAGCCTAAGCTACCGGCCGGCCGGTAGCTATGACACACACTTACCACCAGGGGCAGACGCTCAATGCAGAAGTGGAAACCACAGGCATGGAAACATGGAACAGCTTGATGAATCTCAGAGGAAAGGGGGGACGGGGGAGGGCAGGAAGAGATTAACCAAAGATCTTATATGCACACCAGAGGCCAGGCCTGGCCTGGCCTGCGGGGATCGGGCCAAAACCGGCCTGGTGCACCAGTGGGGTCCTTTGGCCTGGCCTGTGGGGATTGGGCCGAAACTGGCTCTCTGTCATCTCCCGAGGTGTCCCGGATTGCGAGAGGGCACAGGCCAGGCTGAGGGACCCCACCGGTGCACGAATGTCTGCACTGGGCTTCTAGTTATATAATAATCTCAATAGATGCAAAAAAGCATTTAACAAAGTTCAACATCCATACGTGATTAAAGCTCTCAAGGAAGTAGGTATGGAAGGAACTTAACCTCAACTCAGTAAGGCTATATATGAAAAGCCCACAGCTAATATCATATTCAATGAGGAAAAACTGAAAGCTTTCCTTTGAAGATCCTGTACAAGGCAAAAATGCCCACTCTCTCACCACTTCTATTCAACATTGTACTGGACATCCTAGCCAGAGCAAAGAGAAAAGCAAAAAGAAATAAAGGGCATCCCAATAGGAAATAAAGAAGTAAAATGATCTGTATTTGATGTGACATGATCATTTATGTAGAAAACTTTAAAGACTCAATAACAAAAAATTGTTAGAATTAATACCTAAATGTAATATAGTTGAATGATTCAACATTGACATACAAAAATCAGTCACATTTCTATATACAAACAGCCAACTATCCAAAAAGGAAATTAAGATAATCACATTCACAATAGTAACCAAATGAATAAACTACTTGGGAGTAATCTTAACCAAAGAGGTAAAAAGACCTATACATCAAAAATTATAAAACACTAGTGGCCCAGTGCATGAATTTGTGCACATTGAAAGGAAATTAATTAAAGAAGTATTTTAATATTGCTATTCACCCTTTCTCCATAATAGAAATGTCAACCAAATTCATGATCGATAATGACAGATCGAAACACACACATGCGATTGGCGCCAGCAAGAGCTTTATATGTATTGTGCATGAATGAGTCAACATTTATTTTTAAATTGCCAGTGCATGTCATATGTACCGGGCGGTCAGTCACTTAACCTTTTATATATGAAGGAAATAAAAAAGAAACAGATAAATGGAAACATATCTTGTGTTCATGGATTAGAAAAATTAATGTTCTCAAA